TGCCTCTGTGGGTTCGCAAACTGACTCAGGCGAGCTTCGCATCTGACAGGTTGCCATCCAGCTCGGTGGACTCGTTGTCATCTTCCAGAAGATCTTCCGAGACATTGATGGCCTCCGTGACGATGGAGATGTTGATGGGAACTTCGGTCTCGTTCAAGCCCTCAGCCTCATTCAGCACACCGCCTCCTACCAATAAGATGATATTGCACGCCCTTGCAGACACCACCCCCAAGCACCGCAATGCGGTCATCGCCCAAAGTAGACAAGGGGCATCACTGGCATCGCTGTGGTTGGCAGACTCGTTTCCAAAGATGGGCACGTCTTCCTGCCGTCATGCTGAATTTGACGCTCGATCGGGTTTCTCACCAATCCATTTAGGGCCGGTGGCGTGTGATGCGTGTCATTGAAGCTTCAGCAATCACTTCGAACGACGGCACTGCACTTCAAGTCTGGATCTAACGCAATGCTCGATTTGGCGGCTCGTTCGTCCCACACCGCGGTGGAAAGGAGAGCGACCACGTCATAACACCCCGTCACCTGCAAACCAAGTCGCCGGTAGAATCCAGGAGTCGTTGCCTTGAATGTAGACGTGTGGAAACATCGCATGACCCAAGATGCCCGCATAAACTGACCCCACTCCTCCCTGCAAGGAGACATCTTCCAAAAGAAACGTACAGGTGCTTCTGCAGCGCCATGAACATACCAGAAAGCGCCGGCATCAACAAATCTCGGCTTGAGCAGTCCCAAATGATCCAAGCCGCTGCTGTTCGACACCTCCGGCACGTTCCCTTCGGTCCTCGGTTGCCGGATTCACCAAGCAATTTGTGCTCAATCTTCCAAAACCATCCCTTCACAACAAGCTGAACGTCACAGCCCGGCTTCCCGACTGGACCACCTCTGTGCCTCTGTGGGTTCGCAAACTGACTCAGGCGAGCTTCGCATCTGACAGGTTGCCATCCAGCTCGGTGGACTCGTTGTCATCCACCAGAAGATCTTCCGAGACATTGATGGCCTCCGTGACGATGGAGATGTTGATGGGAACTTCGGTCTCGTTCAAGCCCTCAGCCACGCTCATTCAGCACACCGCCTCCTACCAATAAGGCGATATTGCACGCCCTTGCAGACACCACCCCCAAGCACCGCAATGCGGTCATCGCCCAAAGTAGACAAGGGGCATCACTGGCATCACTGTGGTTGGCAGACTCGTTTCTAAAGATGGGCACGTCTTCCTGCCGTCATGCTGAATTTGACGCTCGATCGGGTTTCTCACCAATCCATTTAGGGCCGGTGGCGTGTGATGCGTGTCATTGAAGCTTCAGCAATCACTTCGAACGACGGCACTGCACTTCAAGTCTGGATCTAACGCAATGCTCGATTTGGCGGCTCGTTCGTCCCACACCGCGGGGGAAAGGAGAGCGACTACGTCATAACACCCCGTCAGCTGCAAACCAAGTCGCCGGTAGAATCCAGGAGTCGTTGCCTTGAATGTAGACATGTGGAAACATCGCATGACCATGCATGACCAGGGATGCCCGCATAAACTGACCCCACTCCTCCAGCAAGGAGACATCTTCCAAAAGAAACGTACAGGTGCTTCTGCAGCGACATGAACATACCAGAAAGCGCCGGCATCAACAAATCTCGGCTTGAGCAGTCCCAAATGATCCAAGCCGCTGCTTTTCGACACCTCCGGCACGTTCCCTTCGGTCCTCGGTTGCCGGATTCACCAAGCAAGTTGTGCTCAATCTTCCAAAACCATCCCTTCACAACAAGCTGAACGTCACAGCCCGGCTTCCCGACTGGACCACCTCTGTGCCTCTGTGGGTTCGCAAACTGACTCAGGCGAGCTTCGCATCTGACAGGTTGCCATCCAGCTCGGTGGACTCGTTGTCATCTTCCAGAAGATCTTCCGAGACATTGATGGCCTCCGTGACGATGGAGATGTTGATGGGAACTTCGGTCTCGTTCAAGCCCTCAGCCTCATTCAGCACACCGCCTCCTACCAATAAGATGATATTGCACGCCCTTGCAGACACCACCCCCAAAGCACCGCAATGCGGTCATCGCCCAAAGTAGACAAGGGGCATCACTGGCATCGCTGTGGTTGGCAGACTCGTTTCCAAGGATGGGCACGTCTTCCTGCCGTCATGCTGAATTTGACGTTTGATCGGGTTTCTCACCAATCCATTTAGGGCCGGTGGCGTGTGATGCGTGTCGTTGAAGCTTCAGCAATCACTTCGAACGACGGCACTGCACTTCAAGTCTGGATCTAACGCAATGCTCGATTTGGCGGCTCGTTCGTCCCACACCGCGGTGGAAAGGAGAGCGACCACGTCATAACACCCCGTCACCTGCAAACCAAGTCGCCGGTAGAATCCAGGAGTCGTTGCCTCGAATGTAGACGTGTGGTAACATCGCATGACCAGGGATGCCCGCATAAACTGACCCCACTCCTCCAGCAAGGAGACATCTTCCAAAAGAAACGTACAGGTGCTCCAGAAAGCGCCGGCATCAACAAATCTCGGCTTGAGCAGTCCCAAATGATCCAAGCCGCTGCTTTTCGACACCTCCGGCACGTTCCCTTCGGTCCTCGGTTGCCGGATTCACCAAGCAATTTGTGCTCAATCTTCCAAAACCATCCCTTCACAACAAGCTGACCGTCACAGCCCGGCTTCCCGGCTGGACCACCTCTGTGCGTCTGTGGGTTTGCAAACTAACTCAGGCGAGTTTCGCATCTGACAGGTTGCCATCCAGCTCGGTGGACTCGTTGTCATCTTCCAGAAGATATTCCGAGACATTGATGGCCTCCGTGACAACGGAGATGTTGATGGGATCTTCGGTCTCGTTCCAGGCCTCAGCCGAACATAAGCACGCACCTGCTGGCAAAGCTGCATCGGAACTGCCGCAACGATACCTGAACAGTCGAGGACGGGACATCACTATCGTTGGTGGACTTGTTCCCCATGATGGGCAGGCCTTCCTGCAGCAGTGCTTTCAAAGGCTCATAAATGCTCGTATATACTCCTGTTGGGCTTGCATGCTCAAGCACAGCCCAACTGGCACGGAAGGGAACAGCGCGCTTCAAAACTGGATCAATGCAATACTTATGTCAGTTGTGTATTTCCTGTGTCCTGAACCTTGCCAGAATGTTTGGGACAACCATGGATCAACCTCCTCCAACTGCGCACCAAGTGACTGGCCGAATCAAGGAGTCACTGCCTTGCGAGCACCAGGTGGGCCAAACCGGTGCAAGTTCTGCACAGGGAACGACTAGTCCCTCGTCAAAGGCATGCGAAGCTATGCCAGAAGCACTGCATTCAAGCGGCTGCTGTTCGAGACCTCCGCCAAGTTCGCAGCAGTCCTCTGATATGTTGACAACACACATCTGGCGCAAGCTCTCGAGGACATCCACGCATCACAAGCCGCACTGGTTCACTTCTACGGAATAAGACCAACTGAGACGAGGTTCCTGTTGGACAGATTGCCATCCAGCGCGACGGACTCATTGTCATCTTCCCATGCGTCCGAGGCATTGGTGGCTTCTCCGTTGTAAGGAGGCTCTGTCTGGTTCCAGGCCTCAGCCGTACCCAATCCCTCCTGACAGACCTGCTTCAAAATTGCACGCCTGGACCGTGCATCACAGTGCTTTCGCAAAGCGAATGGGGGAACAAAGCACCATGTTTTGCACCGTCAGCTCCAACGCCTTCTTTGCATGTCGTTCAAACTAGGGGAGGCACATCACTTTCGTTGGCAGACTCGTTGCCAGCCATGGGCACATCTTCCTGGAAAGCTGATGATGTTGACTTTGTCATTGCTTCCATTGTCTTTCCACTATTTCTTTGCGGCCCGTGACCATTTCGACACGTTTCGACTGTCGATCAAGCGGCAGTATATTTCACATTCGTCCTCTTAGGCCGCACTGCAAAGTTGAGCAACTAAGGAAAACTTGCTTCTGAATGCCAACCACGTCACTGGTAGAATCCAGCGGTCATGGCCTCACGTGCACTGACCCGGGGGACGGGAGTCACAGAAACCAGCACTTTCAACGCTGGACCAAGTGTTTGCGTATACATAAATGCACATACACTGACACGAAAGATGGCCGCTTTGCAGCAGCTGGCATGCGAAGGAACAGCTGCTGCTGCCGCCCGCCATGTTCGACAATCTTATGCTCAAACGCACGTCTTGAAGGAGCCAAGCCGCTGTTGTTCGGGACCGCCGACACGTTTTCTTCGGTCCTCGACTGCATGCATTGATGCAGCACATGTTGATCAACCTTCCCCTGGACATCTACGGCAAGCTTCACGTCACTGCTAGGCAGCCGCCCGGCTGGACCAACCCTCTGGGTAACAGTCGGTTCGCATACTAACTGAGGCGAGCTTCGCATCTGACAGGTTGCCATCAAGCTCGGTCGACTCATTGACATCTTCACGCAGATCTTCCGAGACATTGATGGCCTCCGTGACAACGGAGATGTCGATGGGACCTTCGGTCTCGTTCCAGGCCTCAGCCGAACATAAGCACGCACCTGCTGGCAAAGCTGCATCGGAACTGCCGCAACGATACCTGAACAGTCGAGGACGGGACATCACTATCGTTGGTGGACTTGTTCCCCATGATGGGCAGGCCTTCCTCAGCAGTGCTTCGTGCTGCTCGAGGCTCATCTGGCATGACTTCCATTCTCAGGGGCAGTTCAATTGGTGCAGAAGATAGCACTGCACTTCAAGATTGGATCAATGCAAAGATCTCTAACATCTGGCACCATTAGCTTGGAACTTCCAATTGCCACCCAAGTAATTGCGTACCCAAGTGACTGGCAGAATCCAGGAGTCATTGCCTTGCGTGCACCAGGCGGGCCAAGCCGGTGCAATTTCTACACAGGGACTGACTAACATAGTCATTCGCCATTCGCCGAAGGCATGCGAAGCTGTGCCAGAAGCACTGCATTCAAGCGGCTGCTGTTCGAGACCTCCGCCAAGTTCTCAGCGGTCCTCCGATATGTTGACAACAAACATCTGGTGCAAGCTCTCGAGGACATCGATGCAGAAGAAGCCGCACTGGTTCACTTCTACGGAAATGATTAAAATGAGACGAGGTTCCTATTGGACAGATTGCCATCCAGCGCGACGGACTCATTGTCATCTTCCAATGCGTCCGAGGCATTGCCAGCTTCTCGAGCGTAAGGAGGCTCTGTCTGGTTCCAGGCCTCAGCCGCCACATTTATCCAATCCCTCCTGACAGACCTGCTTCGAAATGCATGGGGGGACAAAGCACCACGTCTCGCACCGTCAGCTCCAACGCCTTCTTCGCATGTCGTTCAAACTAGGGGAGGCACGTCGCTTTCGTTGGCAGACTCGTTCCCATCGATGTGCACATCTTCCTGGAAAGCTGATGATGTTGACTTTGTCATGGCTTCTATTGTCTTTCCACTATTCCTTTGCGGCCAGTGACCATGTCGACATGTTCCGACTCTCGATCAAGCGGCAGGCAAAAGTACGAAAGACAGCGCGGCAAGATTCAACAAGACTGGATCGGCGCAATACTCTCCATCATCTGGCAAATATTGTCATACTTCACATTCGTCCTCTTAGGCCGCACTGCAAAGTTGAGCAACTAAGGAAAACTTGCTTCTGAATGCCGACCACGTCACTTGTAAAATCCAGCGGTCATTGCCTCACGTGCACCGACCCGGGGTACGGGAGTCACAGAATCTAGTAATTCCAACGCTGGACCAAGTGTTTGTGTATATAAATAACTGCACATACACTCACACGAAAGATGGCCGCTTTGCAGCAGCTGACATGCGAAGGAACAGCTGCTGCTGCCGCCCGCCATGTTCGACAATCTTATGCTCAAACGCACGTCTTGAAGGAGCCAAGCCGCTGTTGTTCGGGACCGCCGACACGTTTTCTTCGGTCCTCGACTGCATGCATTGATGCAGCACATGTTGATCAACCTTCCCCTGGACATCTACGGCAAGCTTCACGTCACTGTTAGGCAGCCGCCCGGCTGGACCAACCCTCTGGGTAAAAGTCGGTTCGCAACCTAACTGAGGCGAGCTTCGCATCTGACAGGTTGCCATCCAGCTCGGTCGACTCATTGACATCTTCACGCAGATCTTCCGAGACATTGATGGCCTCCGTGACAACGGAGATGTTGATGGGATCTTCGGTCTCATTCCAGGCCTCAAGCGAACATATTCGTCACGTCCCTGCTGGCAAAGCAGCGACGAACCTGCGCTCAGACACCTGAACAGTCGAGGACGGGACATCGGTATCGTTGGCGGACTTGTTCCCCATGATGGGCAGGCCTTCCTCAGCAGTGCTTCGTGCTGCTCGAGGCTCATCTGGCATGACTTCCATTCTCAGGGGCAGATCAATTGGTGCAGAAGATAGCACTGCACTTCAAGATTGGATCAATGCAAAGATCTCTAACATCTGGCACCATTAGCTTGGAACTTCCAATTGCGTACCCAAGTGACTGGCAGAATCCAGGAGCCATTGCCTTGCGTGCACCAGGCGGGCCAAGCCGGTGCAATTTCTACACAGGGACTGACTAATATAGTCATTCGCCATTCGCCGAAGGCATGCGAAGCTGTGCCAGAAGCACTGCATTCAAGCGGCTGCTGTTCGAGACCTCCGCCAAGTTCTCAGCGGTCCTCCGATATGTTGACAACAAACATCTGGTGCAAGCTCTCGAGGACATCGATGCAGAAGAAGCCGCACTGGTTCACTTCTACGGAAATGATTAAAATGAGACGAGGTTCCTATTGGACAGATTGCCATCCAGCGCGACGGACTCATTGTCATCTTCCAATGCGTCCGAGGCATTGCCAGCTTCTCGAGCGTAAGGAGGCTCTGTCTGGTTCCAGGCCTCAGCCGCCACATTTATCCAATCCCTCCTAGCAGACCTGCTTCGAAATGCATGGGGGGACAAAGCACCACGTCTCGCACCGTCAGCTCCAACGCCTTCTTCGCATGTCGTTCAAGCTAGGGGAGGCACGTCGCTCTCGTTGGCAGACTCGTTCCCATCGATGTGCACATCTTCCTGGGAAGCTGATGATGTTGACTTTGTCATGGCTTCTATTGTCTTTCCACTATTCCTTTGCGGCCAGTGACCATGTCGACATGTTCCGACTCTCGATCAAGCGGCAGGCAAAAGTACGAAAGACAGCGCGGCAAGATTCAACAAGACTGGATCGGCGCAATACTCTCCATCATCTGGCAAATATTGTCATACTTCACATTCGTCCTCTTAGGCCGCACTGCAAAGTTGAGCAACTAAGGAAAACTTGCTTCTGAATGCCAACCACGTCACTGGTAAAATCCAGCGGTCATTGCCTCACGTGCACTGACCCGGGGGACGGGAGTCACAGAAACAAGTAATTCCAACGCTGGACCAAGTGTTTGTGTATACATAAATGCACATACACTCACACGAAAGATGGCCGCTTTGCAGCAGCCGACACGCGAAGGAACAGCTGCTGCTGCCGCCCGCCATGTTCGACAATCTTATGCTCAAACGCACGTCTTGAAGGAGCCAAGCCGCTGTTGTTCGGGACCGCCGACACGTTTCCTTCGGTCCTCGACTGCATGCATTGATGCAGCACATGTTGATCAACCTTCCCCTGGACATCTACGGCAAACTTCACCTCACTGCTAGGGAGCCGCCCGGCTGGACCAACCCTTTGGGTAAAAGTCGGTTCGCAACCTAACCGAGGCGAGCTTCGCATCTGACAGGTTGCCATCCAGCTCGATGGACTCGTTGTCATCTTCAAGCAGATCTTCCGAGGCATTGATGGCCTCCGTGACAACGGAGATGTTGATGGGATCTTCGGTCTCGTTCCAGGCCTGAGCCGAGCACGCTCAACAAAACAAACACACACACGCACACACACACACACACACAAACTCTCTCCCTCTCTCTCTCTCTCATGAGGGTCGGTCGGGCCACAGGCCCACCCGCATGTTTTTAATGCAGGGTTTCTCTCTCTCTCTCTCTCTATCTCTCTCTCTAACACACACCCGCACACCCACCGGTATTCCTGATTTTGACTTCCGTTCCATGCGCCTCGCGTTGACTTTCGGCCGGAGAAAGGTCTGAGGCTGAGTTCAGGCGGAGCAGCAAAAAGAAAAAGACTGGATCATCGGATCGATCTGTTTGACGCGTACATTCAGTCTCTGACCTTCCCGTCTTTTTTTGTCTGAACATGGGCAACTGTGGACTGCACACCAAGACACAGGTAGACTTCCGGACACGTTGCCTTGCGCACAGAAGCTGGGTGACGGGGGTGCAAACTGATATATGTGTTGAATTCATCCAAACATGCCACACCTTATCGTGTCGCTGTGCAGTCACGGGCTCAGGAGGATCCTTGAAACCCATGTCACATGTCATGAAGGGACCAAGTCACTGGTGTCCGACACCTTCGACATGTTGTCTTGGTTCCTGAGATGCTATTGGATCAAGACGCAGGTTTGACACAGGCCGGACAGGTGTTGCTAGCTCAAACAAGCTTCGAGCCCGATAGGTTGCCATTGAGCTCGACGGACTCATTGTCATCTTCCAGATAATCTTCGGAGGAGGCATTGGCGGCTTCCCCGACGATGGCGGAGGCGTTGTCGGGAAGTTCGCCCTTGCTCAACCGTTCTGGTCCCCCCGTCGCCCCCCCTGCAAAGAAACCAAAAATAAGCTTGAGCCCATTACAACGAGGCGACCAAGGTCTCCGCTTCAAATCGCGGCTAAGGGACGTCGCTTGCGCTATCGTTGAAGGACTCGTTCCAAACGGAGAGCACCTCCGACAAGTTCTTCAGAGTCCTTCCGACGACATATAGGGTTTTGGGAGGTGTAGTATACTATAACTACTTTAAGGAACCCTAAGGAATAGTAGTGGCATTATTCATTTTCAGGCTTCTATATTACACCAAGACGAGTCCGTGCAAGTCCTAACGCAATAGCACACAGACATGGCCAACAATGCCCAAACCCGAAAAATCTTTCATTGCTTGGCACCACAAGGTTCGTCTCCCGCAGCCCTAAGGACTCTTACAGTCTGAGGAGTTACATATGGCATTCATAACGTAGTCGAGGCTCCAATTTGATAGGTTGGCATCAAGGTGCCGGTCATCGTCGTTCTCTTCCCGAAGGTCTTCCGACGCATTGCTGGCATGCGCGATGGTGGAGCCGTTGTAGAGAAACTTGGCACAAGCTGCTCGCACCCTGCTTTTTCATCCGGGCATGTGCAGTTCAATCGGATGCTGCGTGCTCTCTCCGCTTAAGCAGGTCTCAGGCATCTGACAGCAAATGAGGAAGGGACATCGCTGTCGTTCGAGGACTCGTTGGTCGCATCGTCTTCCAGAGATGCCTTGGCATCTTCCTAGCGTAGTCATTTTTGAACCCAGGCTCGGATCCTGCATCAGCTGGGATTGATGTTATTTCAACACACACATAAGTATACCCATACATATGTACATGTATACAGGTATATGTGTACACATGAGCATATTATACCACGTATATATATATATATATCCATATACACAGTAGCTCCTCAAAATTTTGCTGCTTCAAGCAGTCACGACAAGGCTAGCAGCTAGGCTCTACAGGCGACATGATGGATAGTCTTGGGGTGCGTTTGCCACCTCACTTCCTCAACGACCCTCCGGCTTCGAAGAGAACAGGACCCTCTGCGCTGACTGCCTGCCAAGCCGCAGGAACACTCCAAGAGTCATTGCCTTATTGGCACATCTGCATCAAAGACCCACCGGTTGAGATGACAGCGGGGCCGGAGGGAGAGGGGCAAAGAGAGAGAGGAGAGAAAGAGAGAGAGAGAGAAGGAGAGACACAGACAGAGGAACGAAGACAGAGAGAGACAGAGAGAGAGAGAGAGAGACTGAAAGCATGGAGAAGACGGGAGGCGATGGCAATCGTGGGAGTCAACTGACCAAGCTGCTGCCATTCAGCATCTCTGATGCTATCTCTTCCTTCCTGGCGGCGCTGCCCGGAACAGGAACACGTACATCACTCGAGAACAAGCAGCTCCGTAGAGCTTTGCGCTGTCTTGCCAACACTGCCAGTAACCCCGACATACCTCAAACATACGGACAGATCTCAGTGCTGACTTCGAGAGGGTATCTGCAGACGCTCCACTCTAGTGCGCCAAGTGCTCCGCATCCTACAGGATCAAGATCTGCATACGACCTGAGAAACCAAGGTGCCTGTTGGACAGGTTGCCAGTCAAAGTGGACTCTTCCAGAAACTCTTCGGACGCATTGCTTGCTTCCACGACGTAGGAGTCGTTCTGCGGAACTTCGGTCTCGTTCCAGGCCTGGGTGTATCAGGGGGGCAGCCAAAAAAAAATCTCTTCCTGCTCTTGCTAGTGAACATGCGCTACAAGTAGCACACTCCGGCGCAGAGACAATGACAACAAAGCGAAACTACATCTCCCAGCAGTTGAGGCCTCAGAACAGCCTGAACGTGCCCCACCCATGCCTGCGATTCGAACCACAAGATTCAGACTGGGACTGGGACCGAGGACGCGCGAAAGGTTGTTCTCTACTCTGACTGCAAGCCAAGATTCAGGTTCGCTGCCTCTCAAGTCATGTAAGATGTTGTGAACATGTCTCAACGAGAACGCTGAAGGAGGAGCTCAGGCACGCTTCTATAAGACAGGCATTGTTGAGCATCTCGTGCCATTAACGGAAGCTGATGCTACTTCGACAAGGCACACAGACAAATGACAACACCAAGATGCTTCCGCTCGAAGCTTTCGTCTTGTTCTCTTCCATCCTCCGATTCGAGCCGCATTGTCTGATTTGAAAAAAAGAATGAATGGGGTAGCTGTACATTAGTGTCAGTCAAAAGCAACTCCGACCCCAATAAAATTTTCGGGGCTTGCAACTCACACGACAGGGTGCCAAGGGATGAGCAATGAAACACATGTTAGCCACCAGCAACACTTCTGCCACCACTATGGGGGAACAATAAGGATCAAGGAAACAAAATCATCATTCTGTATCACGTATACTGCCAACAGGGCCATGGAAGATATCGGACTTGTCCGGAAGATACCAGCAAGATGTGGAACTTAGGAGGAAGATATCTGGGAATCCCAAACTGAATGGACCTTCAGTTGCATCATCACTTCTAGCGAGGCAATTGCACATCGACAACAACCCAAGTAGATGCTGGATTTTGATCTCGACCTATCCAGGAACAGGAGTGGATACGCTTGATTTGCTGGGATGCCGGCAGTTTGGGTACGTTTTCACATGTTTGGACTGTTTGGGACAGTTTCCAGTTTACAGGAACCAATCCCAAACTAGACTCTGGCTCCTCGGCGATGCAGGAACAGCTGGAACTCCGATCAATCCAACATGAACAAACACAAACTTAACACAGAAGGTAACACCTTTTCCGTCTTACTAGCACATCCAGGCGCACTTTCTTTCACCTTCAACATCCGCCTGTACAGATTATTCGCAGGCAAGCGGCCACATTGATGTGGTTGAGGTCGACGCCGCACTGGAGTTGTACTCGCTAGAGTTCTGCTCACTCACGGCATCAATGGCCGAGTTCTCTGTGAGTGAGCTGTTCGTGTCGGCGCTTGTGGCCGACAAATTGGAGGTCGAAGATGTTGCCACAAAGCCCGACCTTGCTGCAGAATGCGTGGGGGCCTAGAAAATTGTACGTGTCTAGGGGCTTGCGGCTTGTAGTAGTCCTGCGACACGTGGAGCTGAATGACTGCATCAGAATCCAGCCATAATCCAGAATCTACCTTTTCTCTTCTACCTTTTCTCTTGGGAGCTCCGCCTCTCCAATCCCATTCTCGAGGAGAACACATTGCATGTTTCGAGCAGCCACGAACCAGCGCGAAATATCAAATGCAAGGAAGGGACGGCGGCGTTGTCGTCGTCATAGCGGCATTTTGTGAAGCTGTCTCATTGTCATTAACAGATGTCACCTGCGACAAGCGGTCACAGGCTGCTGCACCAAATCCCTACTTCAGCTGCGGGCTGACCTCCGCCAATCGGGCGAAGGATCTGGTGGCCGCGCTGCTGTGCATCCTGTCGGGTCTACAGTCACTGTCATGCTGGATCATGCCGCCGTGAGCCAGTTTGAAGCGAGTCGCTCAGTCGGCCAGGTGGATGTTGTGGACGTTTTGGCGCTATACAATGTGGATGTGGTATAAGTCTGCTCGCGCAGAATTGCCTCACAGCCAGAGCGGGGAACACGCAGCAAGTAATGCCTGTGGAGAGCCCAGACTTAGTTTAGATATGAACGAGCGGTGAGGACCACAGAGGTGTGCCTTGAACAGTAATGTTCAGGAGATGATTCAATGTTGTTTCAGAGACCAGAACACCCGGATGTGGTAAGGAAGAAGCAAGCGATCGTGCCACCCCGTCGGGTCTCCTCTAAAGTTTGCTGGGCAGTGAACAGGCACTTGTACAGGCATTTTACATCCCTGTGGTGCCGAAATCCCCTGGGCCACCTTGTGCAACAGGCACACGATTCAATGAACAGTTATGCAGACGGCACTCGAGAAGCTTGAAACAATCAACACCCCGTGCACCATGGGTTGTGCTGATTTCATACAAGTTTCTGAATCAGTGGTTCGGCGCAGATTCCGCCAAAAGTCAACATAAGAAGCCTCAGCTCACAGGTATAACGGTTGCGGCCTGCAGCTGTAGGGCAGCCTTGCGCGTGTGCTTGCAGTGTCCGTCACTTTGGGCCCTTCATGGTGCTTCTGGTTTATCCGGGCTTGACCAGTCTTGCATACTGATGCATGCAGTGGTTGTTTGGTGCTGCACTGATACGCACAGCGAACCTTATCAGCCTTTGCACATTTCGTTGAGTTCGACAAACAACGAGGAGAAGCCTCGAGCCCCCTTAGCTCTCCACCAGGACCCGACAATCCTAACTTTTCAAGCTGAACTCAAAGCAGGTACACCAGAATCGCACAGGGAAAATATGGTTTGCATTGGGCTCCTATATCAGGTCCTTAGCCTTCACTGACCTTGTATCCCAAGCTCTGAAGCCTAAAAGCATAAATCGTACATGGTTTCAGACATCCACCAAGATGGAGCTGAGACTCGATACTGTGGGACTCGGCAAGTCCGGCGCGCCTAGGTCTTAGAGAATCCGCTTGGGGCTTTGAAGTTGAGGCTTTTTAAGGTCTTGCAGCCGCTTAGGGTTTATGGCTTCGGGTTGGGCCCTTGTTGCCACCAATTGGCATAAATCCCAACAGCGGATAAGGTTTGGACCCCTGCGACCTCTTCTCTAATTCAAGCTCCTCAGGACCGGGTGGTCTCTATGGCTCCCCCTACTAGCCCATGGCCAATCCTGTGCCATCTGCTGTGCTTCAAGCCCTGTCCCTGCGACCATGGTCAGTTGGTGGAGTTGCATAGCCTTTGTCCTTCTCAAAGTTGGTACCGCTGTAGCACAAAGCAGCGATTTCCGGCGCGGTAATGCTATAAGATCAAAGGACTCCCTGAATGGGCTCGACCCCGAAGACTGCCAACCTCAGGAACCCCCAAAGCAACCCTAAAAAGATCGAACTCTGGTCCACAGCTTCTCGCAGTCGAAGGAGGTTTGGCAACACTTGAGCATGTGGGATCAAAGCATGCGGAAATAGCCGGCCTAAAACATCCCAAGCAACTCTTCTTCATCCCAAGTGCCGTGCATCTGACTTACCTGCTTGTGGAGGTTCTACCAGATTTATCACCCCACAGGCGGTCGAGTCAAGCTAGGTTCTGGCTCCGGCTCCACTAATCTTTTACCACCCAGAAGCTCTCAATCGGACGCCGGAAACCCGGAACCCCGAAGGTCGACAAGTCACGCAGCGACGAGAAACTGGAACACCCACCCGCAATTGCCTAACCCCCCAAAACCTGCACTCTTCACTGCAGACCAGGGAACCTTTCGAAGGGCTCCCCCGATGTGCGTGCAGGGACTGCGGAGTCTCGTTGCAAAAGAAATGCCTGTACCCTGGGCCGCCACAACTTCTACGGCTACTGGACTAAGCCTGCGCCCAAACCCCACTGTGAAAGCCGACCCTAATTGCGCTCTACCGGTCATTCTGCAAGCCATGTTTCAAAACCATGATCATGTGCTGTCGAACTCCAAGCCCTGGCCTAAAGACCACAAGCAACTCGATCCAGCTCAAACCCAACCACAGGGCCGAGCAGTTGATATCCTTGTGGGGCTACAGTGTTGAGCAGCATAGTGGTTGAGGATGGTTGAGGTATAGTAGTCGCGTCTTGCAGCAGTATCAGCAGTCGCTGCACAGGGGGGGGGTGGGGGCGGGGAGGAGCTGCTCGAATTCCAATCTCGGATCGTTCTGGGCTCCAAACACAGCTAAGGTTTGCAAGCTACAGCATTACGAATCAAGCTCCGCTCTCTGAGGCCGCCGCTTCCCTACAGGTGGCTCGGTTCCTTCAGAGCCTCAAGGCGTTGAGGTATGGGCTTTTGCGCACTGTGACGTTCTGCAGCTTCCTGTGCATGGCCCACTGGCTTTTGCCAGTCTTCGAGTTCATGCGTTTGGTTCGAACCACGTGTGGCACCACGTTACCCAATATTCACTCGTAGCCCTGCCGTGCCATGCAAGAACTTGCACATTTTTCCTGCCACGTGCAGACCAATTTCCATGGAAGAACGGCATACTTACCACGCAACTTGCAGGCCTTGCAACTACTGGTACCATGCAGGTGCAACGGCAGGCCATGGTATGACTGAAAGAATTTCAAGCACTTAATCCTAACAGGAGACACTGTGAACAAGTAGGATCTCTGGGCAAAACAGAGTTAGCAGGTTCCAAGTGGATCGTCGAAACTCAAGGATCTTTATAACTTCTTCTTAAATTCAAAGTACTGAAGTTAGAGGCCACAAACCGTCTTAATGAGCTTTTTATAGCTGGGCTCTGAGTGTCAGCCAGCGAGTCCGCCCAAGCTAGCAATTAGAGTTGTCGAACTCCGGGAAGCTATCGATACATCTGCGACAGCTGTCGTCTACATGTCTCAAGCAACAAAGGTCTGCAGTTTTACCTGCTATGGCAGTTCGCACTACTGCTCGAAATGAAGTAGGAGGTCAAACCAAACATTCCTATCTTGGCAAACGTTTCGACTTTGATCCCGGGGCTGGTGCCGAGACCCGACGATGAATTCGAAAAAAGCTTCCACGCAACCTGCTGCAGGAATCTGCGCAGTCTTGGCCAGGTGGGGTGATTCAATGGTCTGAAACATTCACGGCCATCACTACATTTGTTTGATCACCCATGTCTCTTGCTTGCTTGCTTGCTTGCTTGCTTGCTTGCTTGGCGATTGGGTTCCGGGAGAACAAGCTCCCATCCCCTTGCGCTCTCGCGCTACGCCAGGGTCCATCGGTCCATCTCTCTCTATCTCTCTCTCTCTCTCTCTTGCTGCGGTTGGCTACGCCTGACCCAAGCCCTAAACCCGGCAAGTCCAATCTCCGAGTGCTTTGCCTTCACCAGACCAATGGGAATCAAAGCCGGCGTTCGAAGGGCTTGGAGATAAAATCGAACAGCAAGCCTGTAAACCTCCGCTTCCTCGTTAACCCAAACTGCCAATTGCTTTCCCGGACAGCACTTGTAGTTGCCACTGCCACAGCTGCTATCACGATTGCTCTGGATATCACCTCCTTGATCGTGTACATTTGTACGTCTTTGTCGGTCAGCATGCCCCCAGACTCAGACGGCCCCATACGTCAAACTTCTGCGGGGCGCAGCACAAAGACAATGATCTCAAGTCCCCCAGACCCAAGCACCAGTCTTCGTGCAGGCAGCGCTCAGCAAACATAAAACCCGGCACCATGCTTGACTCAGGATAATGATGAAAAGTCCTGGCGGCTGCCTTCAGGAATCGCTTGAGGGCATCGGAGACGTCGGAGGCCTGGTGCCTCGCATGTCGAAAGAGGCACTTCGCGTATTCGAGGAGTGTGCTTGTGGTTTGCCTATGGCGGAGTGATGGGTCAGTTGCAGGAGGGTTTTAAAACAGGTCTACATGGGCTTTCTCGGCCTTGGCATCTGTGTGCGGCATGGGGGTTGCTTGGGCCGGATCGCGAGGCTTCGTAGAGTCTTGCTTTCTTCTGCAAGACCAGGTGGCAGCTCCCTCGATTAACGCTCACACAACCTTCGCAGGACTTTGAAGTCGTGGAAAACGAAAAACATACTGCATGGCATATTCCGACTGGCCCAAAACGAGCTGCGCGCGCTTGTTCATGGCTCACAGTTCAACTGACGTACGGGCGGACACCTGCGGCTCCTCTGCTCACCCAGCGCTGACGGCATTCCCTCGGTGCAGCCAGTGCATGTAGCAGCTCTCGAATTTAGAAGAATGCTGCTGAGGGGGAGGGGCCGCCCTGTTCTGGAACCGACGATTCGTATCTAATTAGCCGGTGGTGCAGTCGGACGGCATCAACGACAAGTGCTGAAGCCTGGGACGGGTGCAACTCTAAACGAATCTTGTCGGGTCCGGATTCAGGTTTCCTCGTTCTGAACTCGTTCTGAGGGCCTGGGGGTCGTCGGACTGCTGGCTCCAAGAACGATGCCCTCCAAAGCTTCACTAGACCTATCGTCACAGGACAGCCACACAGATTCGGCTCAGGGCCGCACGACTCGCTGCGACCCCAAGTCACCTTAAGTTGAATTTGCAGTGGCTGAGCTGCATCACTGCACTAAGTGTGAGCTCTGTCCACCTGAACGCCTGCCTCATGTGAATCGTCCAGCACTCTCCCCTCGCACCGAGAGGGCGATTCTCTCCGCCGCATCCCTCCAAACAGCCGAAGACGACGAAGATCACGAGACTCGGGCTCTGGCCTGGAGCTGCCGGAAGTGGCCAAGTGCCGCCTTCGTCGGCCTCCGAGCTCCCAGGTTCAGGGCCTATATGGTTCACCATACCTACAAGGGGTCCCTTCGGGATGGAATCGGCCGCCGTCTGCAAAACACCCGCGCGCGGCTGCGCGAGCTCGAAGCAAAGAAGCTGGCTACATCAAATGAAAACCATGCACGATCATTGCAGGACTTTGTTGTTGCCGCGAAGCAAGCTTCTAATGTCCGCAAAGAGGCTTCTCCAAGTGAAGGGTTGAAGGACCTTCGACTCCATGCAAGAACGGAGAACACGGAAAACAGCCAACGACATTGTCTTGACAGGCTGATTGGTGACAGCAGAATGCGCAACATCGAGAGTGTGGCTTCACGGTTGTGCACTCAATCAGGTGATCTCCATGTTCACGTCCCTATACTGCCCTGCACCGACTTGAGCCGTGACCAACTTCTAAAGCGTCAGAAATCGTGATCCCGACTTCAACAGCTCTCTTCAGCCGGGAGGCCCCAGGGCATCGATCCGTGCAATCCAGTATAGCGGCAGCCATGGCCAGGCACGGGCGAGCCGCATCCATCCGGCCCACAGGGGAGGAGGTGCGCCAATCTCTTCTTTAACTTGCGGCGTAATTCACAGCGTCTTGAGACTCTGGATCGAGTGCCATGTTGGATTTCTCATCTGATCATTATTCTAGAAGCCTAGAATCAAACAACCATTGGCTCCAGTTCTATGAGTGTCCTCTGCGCTTCCCTGAAACAGCACAAGCGCGCTGGCTTGCTCAGGAATGCTCAGGAGGCATGCTGAAATGGCGACTGAAGGTTGCTGCCAATGTCAGCACGAACACCGTCATCTTGGCTGCGTTTAGCGGTCTAGCGTTTCTCATGGCTTGAACCTCTGCTGGTTGCAGAAAAATCTGATCAAGAGCCGCCATGGCAACACGGCGCACGGAACTGACGTCTCGGCGGGTGCTCTGAGTAGCCTAATTAGCCGGCCTAGCCCTGCCTCGTTCGTCCATGTTGGACTCATCAGGTGTTTCGTCTTAGAAACAAAGGGCATTCAACACCCAATTCTGACAGAAGTCTTCGAATCTGCAATGCTCGCAATGTCAGGATCTCATGCAACAAACTGCAGAATGGCTCGAAAGGGAAGCCAGGCCTGCCAACGTGTCAGAAGTACAACGGGGCATAAAAGCAGAATGAGCTACATCACGCTGCAACCTAGCTTATCAGTATGCGGCATACGCAAGGAGAAATCGTGACCTGCCTTGGAAGGCAAGCGCCTTCACCTCCTCGCGCACGGACGTCAACCTCCGGTGATGACACTTCATAGTGTTGCGATTAGGGTCCCTCATGTCGGTTGTTCTCTTTAGGGGGCGAGTCATGTTATGTACTGGCCTGAAACAGCGACACTCTTGCTTCCGCAAGCTGGTGCTTTCCAGAGTTGTTTATGTATGTTGATAGCATTCCATGTCTGTGTAAGTCTATCTGTCCGCCGGCATGTCCATGATGCACAGCCTGAACAGCCGCGTGCTTTTGTGTATAATGAAGGTATACACAAATACACATACACACATGCATCAATACCTACCTACCTACCTACCTACCTGCCTGCCTGCCTGCCTGCCTGCCTGCCTGCCTGCCTGCCTGCCTGCCTGCCTGCCCGCTAGCCGGCTAGCCAGTCAGGCCGCCGACCTACCCAATACATACGGACATACGCACATACATACATACATACATACATACATACATACATACATACATACATGAATGCCTACATGCATAATGCAAGCTTGAAGGCAAGTACATACATGTGTGCATAGGTACATGCAAATACATATACCTATTACTTGCTATACGTGCACACACATATCTATATCTATAGACACTTGTACATGTTCATATCTTATACAGATCTACACACATGCGCATATTCACACAACACATATCCATACGTACATATATACATACATACATGCATGCATGCATGATTACATGCATACCTCCACACCTCAAAACTAAATGCATACATACAAGCTGCAACATTCAGCGCGATGCATTGCACATTATTTCACGGGACTACATCACATCTAAATTGCGTTGCGGAAATTGGTGGGAGCCGGTGACGGAATTCACACGCATGAGTCTAACCAGGCAGATTCTGCAACCTCGCAACTCAAGCAATGTTTTGTAAGCCAAACCCTGAAAGCTTCTGGCATAAAGGCCTCCATAATTTGGGCAGTGGCGTAAAGATATTCGAATTGTCCGTCCTCCCTGACAAAAACCTCGTGCCTACAGGAAAACAAAGCGGTACCACGTCAAGCCGAACCGCTTCGGTTTCGGCTCATAGTGTACATCGGCTGGGAGGCTGACGATATATTTCATAGTCAACTGTGACACGAAGTGGTAGAGCTGGCATTGCATCAAACAAACTAACCCTTCCGAAGCCGAGAGAGATTGCTAATTTTTGGTCGGAAGATCGGCGCCGACTATGTCGAACACACCTGGGAGCTCAAGTCAAATTCCCAAGTTGGCTGGGCCCATCTACCCGCACTGCTGGAGGCATGTAAGTGTTCAACCTCATGCAAAATACACTTTCATTGGGAAGCTAGTCATGTATAGGTAGTGTGAGGAAGCCAGGGGCACCGTGATCTCCCTTTTTCCGGCTGTTCAACTGGTAACGCGGGTCACAGGGAATTTTGAGACAGGCTTGACTGCAGCAGTTGCAGAAAGCATACTAAATACCAGTAGCCGGGACTGCTAGTGTCCACCACGTGGTGTGTATAAATGGAAGCATTTCATGCTGCCATGGCTGTGCCACGCGATGTCTGTTGCAAGGTGCTGCGAGCCGCTTGGAAAGCAATTTCTGTACCGCAAGTCAGGACTTGCCATAGCAGTAGTAACGTGTACAGTAGACTCCAGCGAAATGAAATGCAGCAGGCCGTTCAAGCGGACGTTGGTTGGGAGCTTTCTTCACGCCAGCAGCCGAGGACGTTGCGAGTCCTCGCTCCCCTCCTGGACAAAGGCTCTGATCTGAAACAAATCCTTCCCAAGGAAGGACAATTTCAGAGCATTCCAGATCTCTGTCTCAGCCGGGTGCCTTTGACTTAGGTTGGCTGGGGCGAAATTAATTGGGCGTGTGGGTGTATCGGAATCAACGCATAGAACCAGTCGTAACAGGAAAATAAATAGGTGCCAAAGTTGCCCGAAAAGAGGAGCAGCGGGACGGGATATTCTGAGTTGATGTTGTGATAGCTCTCTGGCTGCGTTGACTTTCCTTCGTCCCTAGCTTGCTAACAAACCAGATCCTTGGTGCGAAGCTCCTGCCTTCGGAACCCAGCGACAGGTCGCGCAATCCTACGTGCGATCAAACTTCTTGTAAAGCCCGCATGCAGAAATTGCCGAGGACAACCTGTCAGGCTAGACAAGCTCTGAATGGCAAGCTCCACACATACCTGCAGGCCGCACCTACGCTCTGAAGCACGCATTGTCACTCACATACGTATTCGACGGCATTTGAATAGCCAGGTACAGAACTGTTGAGCATAGATATGCTGGGTTGCTGCGTCGTCTGAGCGATGTGAGGGCTTGCATGGTCTACTTCTGAGTGAGAGTTTAGGAATGCTCCGATTCTTCTGCTGGATTTGGAAAATGATATCACGCTAAATGTCGTGCACGCGGACTCCGGAACTCAATTCTGGGTGCACAGGCTGTACAGGGGTCTGTGCGAACTGGCTGCAAGCCCGGCTGTTGCGGGGAGCAGCAGCAAACAATAAACCATTCTGAGGAGGACCCTTGAAAAAAGGCTGCTTTGTGGAATAACCAAGCTCGTACACTCGCTCGAACTGCATGCGGAGACTCTTCCGACGCCGCCAGTTGCGGATTGCAGTTCTCAGCAAGACCTCGTATGGGAGCATCGACTTACAGCTTCGCTGTGTCCCGAGATCTGAAGGCGGTACAAGACAAACCCTAGAAGCTGAACCTGTCTTACGATGACACCCGGTACGGACCTTAAGACCTTCAGTTTTGGGAACAATGGCAATCCTGGAAAGTACCTGGATCTTTTCATTTCATGGTTCAGTCACTTCATGCAGTCGAGGAGTCGAGGACCAAAGATTAGATTTACATAGATTTACATGTTTGCTTTGGACCCGGCCTTCATCCGCGCCAACCTGCCCTGTGCGCGCAGCTCGATTAGCATGTGCCGCACGTCTGCTCCGCTCACCGGCGAAGCCGTCGTAGCAACGCGCATGATCGACTGGGTTCGGTCGATCCGGTAGCCCAGAAAGCCAAAGCTCACGAAAGACCAAAAGTCAGCAACTGCTGCAGCCATCTCATGGAACATGACAAAGAAGGCCACTGCCCGCTGAAGAGACGCAATCCGACTTTCGTAGAGTTGCATCGAGATGTTCTGTGTCTTCGCCAGCTCAAGGCTCTCGGCCGCGGACGCAGTATGATCAAGCAGCCTCTTGCCATACACGGACTCAAGGGACTCGTAGACTTTTGTGCATTCGGAATCGAACTCTGTGTCCTCAGGTCCAGCAGCTGCCTGCAGGCAGACACGTCTGAAGATGTGCAACAGGTGAAACATGTCGGAGGAGTCCTTCCGCTTCAGAAATTGAAAGTTGCACGCATAGGCGGAATGCAAAGGAGCAGTTTTGCAGACACAACATGACACAAATGCGTTCCCCAAGGCAAAACGATTGAAGGCAACCGTCAACCCTGCAGGCCCTCACTTGCATCTGCTCGAAGTCCACCAACGAACGCAAGCTGGACTTCTGCATGTTGAAGATGAGCTTGCAGTCGGCACGGGTGACGCCGCCGCAACCAGATTCCAGACGTTGGAAGATCGTCCGGACCGCCTTTTGGCAGACGTCCTGGTTTGCATACCGGCCGGGATCTAGGCAAATTTGACTGTTCAGGATTGACGGTGCGCAAGACCGACATGTCAAACACGTTCGCAGCAAAAACTCAAAACCTCACTCAAATCTATCAAAGGCCAATACACGATGTAAATATGTGGATTTCGATGACTTTCGACCTTTTTTTCGAAAGCCGGAGACCGTCCTGGCGAAGGAGCTGGAAGCCTTTCCAGCATTCTTCAAACTTCACGTAGCCGTCCTGGATCGAGCAGATGCAATATCATTTCATACAAAACCGGTCGCAGGGTCTGTCTCGAACGATTTCGGCCTGTGAGGTTTCAAGACAGAAGGACGGCCTTCGTACTCGTACTGCTGTGGAGAACAAGCTCCTAAACTCAAAATCCCGAAAGTGCGCAACCCCCGCCTACCCTGGCAGTCCTCGTCGACCTCCAGACTGTCCACCACAGCCTGCGCCTGCTCCTTCAGGGCTTCAGTCTCAGCACTCAGCTAATGAACCCGAAGGTAAAGCGACCGACAGGTTGCTGATAAACATGTGGCTCTAGCCTACAACATACATGTCGGTGCCCGAGGCAAGGACATGGGGGGGCAGTGACGGCCCGCAAGAACTTGTGACTTACACCCCAAGACCTCAGTCAATGCAAGAATTGCCTGCAAGCTGAGGTTTGAATTGAGTTCTCTAAAAGCACAGAACGACGGGCCCACGACAGCACCAAGTCTGGGCCTGCAGGGCTGAACAATGAGCCATGAGTTAGGTTCCGCCTCCCTCGAACAAGGACTACACAGATAAGGTTACTGATGATGTTGATTTAACGTCTAGGCCTAGGCTACAGCCGGGAGGCAGCCCAAATGCAGCCTTAGGGCTGTCGAACCAGAATGCCCATACTCACCACGTTCAGTGTGCGATGGAGGTAGGGAACTCCATTGCTCCATGCAGTCTGATACATGTAAATTAAAATTTGAATCTGGCGGTTCTGAAAGAACCTTATGGTGGTGTTGAGGCTCCTTCTCCTCAATCTGGGTCTGCCTGTCCAAGGCCTGGCTGATCAGCATGGATTCATATCTGGGTATATCTGGCACGTACGGCATAAATCTTGTTGACGACTCTGAAACAGGCTATTCTTTCTACGAGTATTGCACATTGCACACCCTCTCTTTCTCTGTTTCTTCCTGCAAGCTGACGGGACAAGGGATGGGGACTTGCTCCGTCTCTCCTTGCAGGGCACAGCTCTTCTTGCACGCCGGGCAGCAAGGCCGGCCCTTCCGGTTTCGGACTCGCACGGTCGCACAAGGGCAGGCACGACTTCAACAGTCTAGGGCTTGGGGCGTTAGGGGCGCATCCTTCGATCGGTTTCCCCTCCAGTCACGCAGCGATAATGACCTTGGTTCCCGAGATCTCTCCGATGACGACGAGGGCACACTATGGTACGTAACTCCAAGTCAGGCGCAAAGGAACCAAAAGGAACCCCGGGGCGATAATCATCAGCATCAGCTGGAAATCTTTTGGGGCTCACAACTACCCAAAGCAGGGAAGCGGTTCGACCCTATGATTGGACGTATTCAGCAAACAGCGGGGCCAGCATCATCAGCATCAGCTGGAAATGATTGTGGACTCACAACTCAATCTCCGGGTCTTTCAACCCACGGCAGACTGACGCATTCCGCGAACCGCGGGGCGAGCATCATCAGCATCAGCTGGAAATCCTTCTGGACTCACAACTCAATCTCCGGGTCTTTCAACCCACAGCAGGGTAGCTGTTGGACCCTATCATTGGACGGATGTAGCGAAACGCGGGGGCGAGCATCATCAGCATCAGCTGGAAATCCTTTTGGACTCACAACTCAATCTCCGGGTTTTTGAACCCAAAGCAGGGTTGCAGTTCGACCCTATCATTAGACGGATTCAGCGAGCAGTGGGGCTGTCATCATCAGCATCAGCTGGAAATCCTTAATGTTTTTGGACTCACAACTCAATCGCCGGGTGTTTCAACAGCGGGGTGATCATTATCAGCATCAGCTGGCAATCTTTTGGACTTACAACTCCATCTCGGGGTCTTTCAACAAACAGCAGGGTAGCTGTTGGACCCTGTCGTTGGACGGATGTAGCGAACCGCGGGGCGAGCATCATCCGCATCAGCTGGAAATCTTTTTGGACT